AACAACAGCATTAATAAAAAGTGACATTTGAATGCTGAAGCAAATGTTAATAACAAAGCCTAAATGAATATTTTTCATATAGATTGGATGCATGTATTGTAATGTCTTGTTCATTAAAATGTATTGTCCCAATCGGATTGATTAAAGCTGACATTTATTAATTCATTTTATAGGATTTTTGCTGTCTGACCAACCTGTATATTTTGTTTAAAAGCTTCTTGCTTTAAGCTTGATAAGTTCTTATTACTATGGATGTAAGAAAGTATCCATACTCTGAACTATTGAGATATTTTGTGTTGTCATACTGAATCAATGTTTAAAAGTAATGGATTGATTCTTGTCTGAGAATTTACATTATCATTCCCATTTAGTGTTTTTCTTTTGTTTGCACTTCAAATCCAACTGCTAGGTGGCAACAGTTTTTTTCGCTTCATTCTGACAGAACAGCGAGATCTTGCAAAAACACTGTTGTGTCTTTGAAGAATCTGACCTGAATTTTGCAATTAAAGTCAGCCTTAAAATTGAAAATATAATCTGGCTTTTAGTATCACGATAAAAAATGGAGAGATATGCTTTATGTCAAGTTAGATTTGTGGCTTTTTACTTTGGACCTCTGTCCCCTCTGTGAACCCTTAAGAATCAGTTTAGCACCGGCTTATTTTCAAAGACACTGCAGGTGCAATTTTATATCGTATCATCTCTCCTGTATTGTGATATCTATCATATCACCATGTTCTTGCCATTACACACCTGGGGCTTCATTTTTCAAGCTTGCTTACGCACAAAACGGGGTCGGAAAACTGCGTAAGCAACTTTCCATGCAAACTTTGGGATTTATGAAAGAAAACTTAGCGGAAAAATGTGCGGAACTTTAAGCTGACTAAGGACCTGGCTTACACACATGTTGGACATGGAGATCACCTGCAGTGCTGCTGCTGAGAAGGATAAAATAATGAAATCCTGCAGCATTATCACTTGTACTGCTTCGTTTTCACACAGAACAAGACCCCCCACATACATACACACGTGCATGCGCACACACACACACACACACACACACACACACACACACACACACACACACACACACACACACACACACACACAGCCTGAAGCGCAGAATATGGAATGCAGAATATCAGCAGGGGGACAGACTGAGACAGAATGTCATACGTCTGTGACAGTGTGTGTGTCCTGTCACTGTGACTCGATAGATCATGCGCCCTGGCTACTTGGACAAGGGAGATCTCCGTTTGGGTGATTGGTTAGCACACGTGACTTTCACCTGGGAGTCGGGATCGAATCCCGATTGGACCATTTTTTTAATATCTGCCACAGATCTCTCTGAAGAATTCACAAACATTGACGGCTTCAGCAACGCTGTGCCACTCCGTGGATTTTCTCTTATTTGTTTTGCAAAAGCACTTCCTTTCATTTCTCCACCTCACCCACAAGCACCTGATTTCTGCTTCTGTGAAATTGCGCTTCCTTGATCTGCCTTGATCTACGGTCGCCATCGTCATTGGTGGAGCGCTGCAACAAGCCGGCTTATGTATATGCATGAGATCCACAAGGCACTTTGCATTGACTATTTATGGCAGTAAGTGGGCATGGTGAGGGCGGGAAGTGACTAAAAAGCAGCTGAGAACCTTTCTAGATAGTTTCTGATTCATGAAGCAGAGATTGCGTGCAGCTGTGCGTAGGGATGGGTACCTTTGACATTTGAATCGATTCGGTACTAATTCTAGGTACCTAGGAATCGATACCGGTACTTAACGGTACCAATTTTAGATACTTTTGAGTGTTTAATATTTTAATTCTCTTTATAATTAAATATATATATTTTCTCAATATATAACCATATTTGATAAATATCACGATTAATAACATACAACTGTTTGTATTTTAACATTGCCCTTGTAGTTTTATAAGCGGATAATTAAACTGAAGCAAACATCTTTACTGTGAACTAAATTTACTGTGTATCTTCATTCCTTTTGCCATCCTTTTTCTTTTGATTTTTCCTACTGGGAAGTTAGAATTTCTGAGGAGAAGGCGAACGCCCCATTAGCTGATAACAATGGTGGCAATGGAAGCTAATTTATCAAGCTAACGTTATCTTAAACAGTTTATTTAGCTGTTGGAGCAGATTAAAATGATGATGTCTCACACTTAGATCGTTGTTGCTGGTTTCATCTTCACCCAATCACCCGTCGCATTTAGTAAAGTGAAGCCAATCTTTAGAGCGTGTTCATGTTCTTCGAGCTGGAAATTTGGAGTTCCGAGGAGAAAGCGAACGCATCTTTAGCGGAACGAAAGCTAACATATCAAGCTAACGTTATCTTAAACATTTTATTTACCTACCAGAGCAGATTAAGATGAGGATGTCTCACTTAGATCGTTGTCGCTGGTTTCATCATCACCCAGTTACCCATTACATTTAGTGAAGTGGACCCAAGCTTTAGCGTGCGTTCTTTCTACCATGCTGCTCTGTTTACAACTCGCTCGCAGCGACCGACGACATAATGCTCTTGCGCTTGCGCAGCTGTCTAGGCAAGTTCTCGTTATGAAGGACAGGTACCGAAACGAGGCACCGTTTCAAATGATGTGAATCAGTGCTCAGTCGGTACTATGGAATTCGGTCGGTACCTTAAAAAGTACCGAATTCTGTACCCATCGCTAGCTGTGCCTACTCCATGTTTGATAGATCACAAATCTACTTGGCGTAAGTACATTTTTTTTGCTGAGCTTAAGTACGGTTTTAGTAAGGATTCTACGCAAGGTTTGATAAATGAGACCCCTGATTACTGTGGTGTTTGGGAGAACTTTTGTAATTTTGTTACAAATTTCTAGCACCAAACACATTCTTTAATGTCTCCTTCCTTATAAACTGTTTTTGACGCAGATCACCTCTATCCAACTCCCTCTTAGTTATATTTATTCCAGTCTCATTCATCAGTTCAAAGCTGATGATTCTGCCGTTCATTTTTGGCTGAGCAATTTCCACCATATTTCCTCTTGAGGATAAATCAATCAATTTGCTATTACTGTAGAATTCAAAGACACGGATCAATTAGGTTGTTGCTGAGTAATAAATGAATTTCTAATGAAAAAAAAATCTTTCTTTTTGTCTAACGAGGCTGCTTGCTCAACCTGACACACTTTTGCCTTTTATTCTCATCGGGAGACAGAAATCAATTTCAATATAAAAAATGTTGTAATTATTCACTCGAAATATATTTTAAATGCTTTGTCCAAAACTCACACCAGGCTCGTTGGGACAACCAAATGTAGCTCTTTTACAATCTGGTCAGACAAGCGTAACTTTTAATTCAGTGTCATTTCTTCAAAGTATTCTCTAAATTTCTAATTGAAATGTGGATTCTTTTGGAATAAATCCAACTAGACTTTGAGTTTTATACCATAATTTTCTGAAAATTAATCTATCAGCTGAAAAGCGACTCGATGGGGATCACAACCCACCAAATCTCATTATGTGGTGAACTGAAAATAACCTACCTCCATTGCCTGCGTTGGGATTTCCAACAGTGAAGGATAACAGGTGACGCTTTCCTGTCAAAGGGTCATTGAGGAAGCTGATCACATCACCTGAATTAATGTGCAGCGATGCACCTTTCATCTGACCTCACGGTCAAAGTTTTAATTACATTAAAAAAAAGACTTTCTTAAACAAGATAAGCTACCGAGGTGTGGGGTGAGGAGGGTGACGGAACAGAGGGTGAAAGTGGAAAAAAAAACATGGATGAAAGCAAAATTCAGAGCAGAAAGGGGTTGAAGAATCAATTTATTTCTCGTGATTTTTTCCTTCTGAACAAAATTGACTTTTACTAATGAGTTGGGTGGAGTAGGTAAGAGGGGCTGAAAGGGTGAGACTGATTAAAGTTTACCTGAAAGCTTCAGTTTGGTTTGGATCTGAATTGTCGAGTGAAGAGCAGAAGGAGGGAGGTTGGGATTTATAGACACACATTAAAATGTGTCTCAAGTGACCTCTCATGGTCAGATCTCACCTCCCAGCTAAATAAACACATTGATCATTTTCACTAATGCATATTTTAAAGGTGGCACATACCTTTTGGGTCAATAGCTAAAGGAAATAGCGGAGATTGAATGCTTCAGATGGCTTTGTGACTGGCACATCAGCCTACAGTTTTATAGATAATTATTGCTTTGTATTGATTAACAATGACTGTTGCAGTGAAATGTTATTGTTTCATGTCTCTAATTTTCATTGTTTACGACTGCCATAAAAGTTTGTATTGCTGTTTGTATGCTTCTGTACTGTTGGGTAATTATTACTGACTGGGCTGGTTCCTGTTTTGGCAAAAGCACTTTGATAAATGAGATTTTGAGCCCTAAGTACCCCATTTTCCATCGAGAAGAAGACAAAATGATTGCAATGCATTAAAAAAACAGAAAACATTTGATGTGCCATCCCTGGAAACATTTAAGTGCCTCCTGCTGAAACAGAATGTGCTTTGGTTTGGGTAATCAGATCCCAGTAAGTGAGTCGCATTTGTACCAAAACTGCTCATGGTAAATTCTTCAGGGGTGGGATTGACACAAAAGAACAAAATAAGTATTTTAAAAGGGCTGCATGGTGGCGCAGCACGAAGGTTGCAGATTCGAAACTCGGCTGCGGCCTTTCTGCGTGGAGTTGCGTGTTCTCCCCATGCATGCGTGGGTTTCCTCCGGGTACTCCGGTTTCCCCCACAGATCACAACATGCCCTATAGGTTATAAACTGTAAGTCGCTTTGGATAAAAGCATCTGCTAAATGACTCAACATAAACATAAACATAAAAGTTTATTCACACAAGTATGACAAGCTAGTTTAGACCAGTGGCCCCAAAACTGCGGCCCCTGGACCCCCAGGGGTCTACAAGCTATAAATTTGGGGTCTATAAAACATACGCTGTGGGACCTGAGGACACAATGTGTGGATATATATATATAGTATCGGCAAATATTGGTTGTTGACCATAACATGGGTATCGGCCCAAAGTGCACTCCTAGTCCAGTCTCCCAAGAGACACTGTCTGACATGAAATATCACCTCTAATAACCTCATTATCACACTTATTTCTAATTATCAAATTTATAAAGTTCAGCAAAAGCTACTAGTGCCATGGACTCAGTATCGATCAAAATCAAACATCCAATAATGCTTCCCTGTTTTTCATCAGAGCTTTTCTAACTGCACTCATGATTGGTGTGACCAGAATGCACGTCAATAGCAGGTGTGAACCAACCCGCAGGGAGACAAATGAACGAGGTGCATCGGCTGAATGTGATGCAGGTATGGCAAGCCAAATGAGCATTTATTCTGATATCAGGATATCAGCCAGAATTGTCATGAACATGTAAGCCATTTCTGTCCACTAGTTAACTAGTTAGCCATGTTTGTGTCAACTAGTTAAATAGTGACAGCCTAAATGTCAACTAGTTAACTAGTAAGGCCTAAATTCTCTCTAGTTTACTAGTTAAAATGTTTCATATCTTACTAGTTAACTAGTATTGCTCAGTGTGTTCACTAGTTAACTAGTGGTCAGATCAATGTCCACTAGTTAACTAGTTAAAACACATTTAGTTTTTACTAGTCAACTAGTAAGGTACAAAAACTCGTACTAGCTGACTACTGAATGTAAAAATCCCACTTGTTAACTTTGCCCAATTTGGCCAGCCGCTTGAGCATTAATTCTGATATCTTGTCAACAGGTCAACTAGTTAACTAGTGAGGGTCAAACTGTACACGCTAGTTAACTAGTGAACACATTTTGACCTTCACTAGTTAACTAGTTGACACAAAAATGGCTCATTAGTTAACTAGTAAAGGCCAAAATGCATACCAGTCAGCTAGTTGAAGGTATTTGTGTCTCACTAGTTAACTAGTCAGGGTCAAAATGAGCCCACCAGTTAACTAGTGGGAGACGGAAATGTTCACTAGTTAACTAGTGAACACATTTTGGCTTCACTAGTTAACTAGGTGACACAAAATGGCTCACTAGTTAACTAGTAAAGGCCAAAATGCATACCAGTCAGCTAGTTGAAGTTTTTTGTGTCTCACTAGTTAACTAGTGATGGCCAAAATGTGCACACCAGTTAACTAGTGACAGAAGAAATGCCCACTAGTTGACAAGTGAACACATTTTGGCTTCCTAGTTAACTAGGTGACACAAAAATGGCTCACTAGTTAACTAGTAAGGGCTAAAATGCATACCAGTCAGCTAGTTGAAGGTTTTTGTGTCTCACTAGTTAACTAGTGACAGTTCAAAGTGTCCACATGTTCACTAGTGAAGGCAAAACTCCTAACTAGTTAAGTAGTTGGAGTAGGGCAGTGCCACTAGTTAACTAGTGAACCATTAATGACTCACTAGCTAGCTAGTTGATTGTAGCAGGCTCACTAGTTACCTAGTTGATGCATCCATCGTCCAAACTAGTTAACTAGTGAGGACATAAATGTATACTAGTAAACTAGTTCAAGCCTACATTCACACTAGCTAGCTAGTTGCACAGAATTCTAATTAGGAGGCAGAGAATTTCTCAAATTGAGGCTTTCTATTGGCTCACTATGTTAAAATAAAATATGACAACCAATCACAGTGCGGAATTTTGCAAAATCCCACCCCAAACATTTGCATGCGGCACACAAGTTAACATACTGGCCAGAGGAACCTCAGCTAGTAAACTAGTAGTGGCTTCAGTGTGACACTTACATGTAAACTTGTGAAGGCGGAACTGCTCACTAGTTAACTAGAGAGGGTACAAATGTCCACTAGTTAACTAGTGAGGTGCAAAATAAGTGTCACTAGTTCACTAGTGGGCCCCAAAACGCCCACAAGTTAACTAGTAAGGTGCGGATATGCTCACTAGTTAACTAGTGAGGTGCAGATTTGCTCACTAGTTAACTAGTGCACCCTTAAGCACCCACTAGTTAACTAGTAAGGTGCAAAAAAGCATCACTAGTTAACTAGTAAGGTGCAGATATGCTCACTAGTTAACTAGTGGGCCCCAAAACGCCAACTAGTTAACTAGTAGGGTGCAGATTTGCTCACTAGTTAACTAGTGAGGCGCAGATATGCTCACTAGTTAACTAGTGACATGCGGATTTGCTTACTAGTTAACTAGTGAGGCGCAGATATGCTCACTAGTTAACTAGTGAGGTGCGGATTTGCTCACTAGTTAACTAGTGAGGTGCGGATTTGCTCACTAGTTAACTAGTGAGGTGCAGATTTGCTCACTAGTTAACTAGTGAGGTGCGGATTTGCTCACTAGTTAACTAGTGAGGTGCGGATTTGCTCACTAGTTAACTAGTGAGGTGCAGATATGCTCACTAGTTAACTAGTGAGCATATCTGCACCTCACTAGTACCTCACTAGTTAACTAGTGAGCATATCTGCACCTCACTAGTTAACTAGTGAGGTGCGGATTTGCTCACTAGTTAACTAGTTACATCTAAAAACACATACAAGCTGACCATTTTTGTCCACTAGTTAACTAGTGGAACAATTGAAATTTCACCAGTTTACATGTGTGGCAGTGCAGCAGCTCACTAGTTAACTAGTGCCTGAAACACAACTTATGCATATTCTAATGAGAAGGCGGGCAGAAGACTCCTGTTGGGTATAACAATCCCACCCAGTCTAAAACGTATGTGCTGTGGCCTCACAATCACATACTGATGGGTGTCCCTGAGCGCCAAGGCTTGCACTCATTAGTCATGGTTTGACACCTACTGGTTGGTCGTTGCGGCGGGTTCGAATCCCGCAGATGGCATTCCGCAATTGCTGTAACATTATTTATTTTCTCTTTGTGTTGTAATGTTCAAAGTTTTATTGTTTTACTGCTTTTATTCCCCCCTCCCAAATCAAGTAAAGCACCTCGTTTGGTGTCGTGTAAGGGAGATCAGTTGGCGAGTTCAAGTCCCATTGAGGAGAATTGGAATTTAGTGTGCCAGTAATTTTATTGTAGTTCATTTTTGTTTGGTATTGAAAGTTTGGTATTGAAAAAGGCTATATTAAAAATAATTATTGATATATATATACTATATATATATATATATATATATATCCTTCCATCCATCCATCCATCTTCCCAAGAAATAGATCAAATGACACTGAGGGAAAAAACTGTGGTTATTTTGGAGAGGGTGCTCGCTGCAAAACCACAAAGGCGGAGCTGCACCCCGCCCATTCACGCAAACTCAGCCTAGCCCACTGACTTCCGTTTTTGTTTTCAACTTTATCGCAAACTGACCTGACCCACATGAATTACGGCTGTTACTAGTTTACAGTCGTTAATGCTATGTTCTATGCTCCAATTAAACAAGATAAATATAACTTGCTACATGACAAAGACTGAATATATCTCGAAATGAAAAGGTTTCTTTTAGCGAATATCTGCCTACAGCTGGTCTAATAAAACTGGTGTACAACAGCACTTCAGTCTATTGAATGGCCTCTGGTAGTCTAGTGGTAAAATCATCTAAGTTGGTTTTTGCTTTCCCCTCAGCTGATGCTGGTTCGATTCTCGGTGGGGTCATCAGCAGTCTATTTAGCCACATTCAATTTGTTTATATTTTAGTTGTAATGTTTATTTTCAGCAAAATATTTATGTCGCTAAAAGTTCTTTGAATTTGGTCGTTCCTAAACAGCATTTTAGTTGAAACTCTGCTCACAAATGGACTCACACTGGCTAAATAAACGAATAAATAAATAAATAAACACATTATATGTTAAACGGTATACCAGTAAATTGTTGTAAACATAGTACTGGCAAGTGTAGCTAGAAATGAAGAAAAGAGGTTGTAAACTACCTAAAACTTACACTACTGGGAGGCGAAACAGCATGTCAACCTGACTCCATAACCACTACACCACCACATCTGTTATAAATCAAGTGGCGTTACATGTAATTGTGCTGCCCAGTGTGTCTCTGAGATGGGATGTATGGTTTATTGGCGGTGTCTCAGTAGAAGTCATTTCAGAAATAATTTGTCAGAAAATTCACAGAATATCCAGATTTGAGAACCAAGACCAGACCCGCTTCGGGGGAGGAGACCAAATTGAAGCTGAGATGGGAGGAAAATGCATGAATGAGGCTAAAAATGGCTTTGGCGTGTTTCTTATGAGGAAATGACAATATAACATGATTAAAAGTTCCAAACGTTAGATTTTTAATTATATGGAACCTTTACAAAAACTGTTCAATTAACTTCTCAACTCCGTCCTCAATCTCGCATTTTTTAGCTACAACACCCTCTTTGGTTCCAGAATGCTATCAAGTCTGACAACTGGAAGGAATTAGACTGACTCTAATGGAATGGGCGGGGCTGATTCTGGAATGGGCGGGGCTGACTCTGGTGCAGCTCCACCTTCTGGTGCAGCTCCGCCTTTGTGGTTCTGCAGCGAGCACCACTTGTTATTTTGAGCTAGTACCAGAAGACAGTGTAACCTTTTTTAGTTCTCTCCAGTCAAAACAAAACTTTAGACTTTTTTCTTTTTTAAATTTAACAGGGAACAGCAATCAATTGAACAGGGAACTGCAACCAGTAGTCACACAACAAAATAAAATCACACAAACAAAATAAAGTTACTCTCCTTTTTTCTTGGTGTCTGAAAAGGGCAGGGAAAACCATCAGACTCCAGTCACCCATCGAATGGACTCTTCACCCTCCTGCCCTCTGGGAAGCGCTACAGGAGCCTATGGACTAAGACTACCAGGTCCCGAAACAGTTTCTTCCCCACAGCTGTCAGACTCCTAAACTCTGCCTGCTGACATAACACCCCAAACCAGCAGCACCCTACATAAACTCTGTAGAAACAAGAAAGCCCTGCAAATCGATGCAGAGCGTCGCGGGATATGCCTGACTGGTCATATATATTACCTCTCATGACACTGACCTCTGACCCTATGAACTTGTGTATGTGATGAGTTTATTTACCTTTGATAGGGAGTTATGACCTCTGATTTTGTCAAAATCCTTCAACCCGTTCAGGAGATATTGCACACAAAAGCCAAATTTTCATATATACGGCCTCACACAACCTTGACCTTTGACCCTATGAGGTTTTGTACCTCATGAGTTTATTTACCTTAGATAGGGAGTTCTCACCTGCGATTTGGTCAAAGTATTTCAACCTGTTCAGAAGATATTGCACACAAAAACCAATTTTTCATATATACGGCCTCACACGACCTTTACCTTTGACCCTATGAGGTTGTGACCTGATCAGTTTATCTACCTTTGATAGGGAGCTATCACCTCTGATTTGGTCAAAATCATTCAACCCGTTCAGGCAATTTTTGATATATATATATATGACCTCACACAACCTTGACCTTTGACCCTATGACATTGTGTTCCTAATCAGTTCATGTACCCTTCATAGTAATAAAATACACAGGCGAGGGTCTGACTCTCTGGAGGACGCCATGTTGGATTCTATGTTTATTTAGCTGTATTTATGGTTTTGCTGGTGGTTTTTGACTCCTTTGAAAACTGTGCAACAACACTCTTCTTCTTCCTTTTCTTGTGTGTTATTTGGCGGATGGCACTCAACATAAAAAGATGCATTTCTCAAACAATTAATGTATTGGAGCGTGAACCAGAGTCATTAATCTCATATCCTAATTTGAGAGTTACAGCTAGAGTCCAGAGAGTTTTGTTGGCTTTATGAGCATTAGTTAGTAAGGTCCTCACTTGAACAAAAAATACAGCTTGTTTGCAGTGACTTTGGTATTTACTACCCCTATTGCCAGAAATCTACACACTTTCCCTTTAAGCGCGTTGTCTCTTCAAGACTGGTCCTGGGTGACATTGGAGTTTACAGCGAGGCCGTAGAAATTCTCTGTCTGGATATTTATTGTGGAGATTAATGGACTAAAATGGGTTGCTGCACCGTGACTGTCTTCTCCTTTTTTTGGAGAGTAAAAACTATATTTTGGTTTTTAAATGCTGCCGCTGCACCGTGTTAAGAAATCATATTACTGGTTGGTTCGAAATGGGTTGAAATGTTCACATTTCTTCTTTGCTTTACATGCTGATCACTAAAGCGTGCTTTAATTAATATTGCGTTTTCGTAAAACGTAAGAGCAAACAAGGGGGATTTTAATTGACAAAAATAATAAAATCAGCACATTTCCAAGCCAACTGCGGTTAACATTCGCACGTCGGCTTGAAAAATATCTCCTTTTTGCCGTAAATAACACACATTTCATAGCTGTTGTGGGTTATGTATGTGTTCATCAGTGCTTGAGAATTGTAACTTTGGGGAGCGGGTCGTAATTGTGGGCATTTAATGCGGTGCTGTCTGTGGCGAGGTGTTGGTAGGGTCTGATCGGAGCTGCAGCCAGAGCGTTTCTCCCGACCAGCGGCTGCTGGGAGCTGGTCCACGGTGAAGCAGCCCACGCAGCAGAACGAGGGCTTCCCGGCTAAGAGCTGACCGCAGCGGCCCCGACGACCGCGGGCCAGCGACCCGAGAAATAACATGGGGAGTCCTGCTGCTGCCTGCTGTTGTTTGTTTTCCGTAGTAAATACCTGAATATGCAGAGACTCAACAGGTCATTCAGTTGTATGGTATCATTCAGATGATCAAATGAAATGTTGCAACATTAATATCAGTTTACCTGATCTTGATCAATAATCACATTGATGAATTGGTGCATGAATAACTACAGACCCTGCTTCCTGCAGCAGCTTTTTCTGCTCTAGATTTATGATCTGCTATTTGTATATTTCAACGAAAAAGACGGAAATGGCATTAATTATTTAGATTTATTTGTGGATTTTTTTGTCGATGTTAACCCTGTTGTGTCTCAGTTCATGAAGCTGTTTTCAATGTTTCCCGCGATGCGAGCAGCTGATTGTGCAGCAGATGACCGCGGACATGATCAATTTCGAAGTGCTATTCTGGATCAAGAGAAAGCCTGCTGTGCTGTGCCGATGATTTTATTTTGCGAGGATGGATTGAGGAAGGGGGACACACATGCTTAAATATCGACTGTCGGCAATAATCAGATTCATACTCATAAAATACTTGTTTACATGTTTTGTGTGTGTGTGTGTGTGTGTGTGTGTGTAACTCTGCCCACTAATCCGTTACGTATTTTGTTTCTTGTTGACATAAATACAAAAATTATGCAAAAGAAAAGAAGTGAAATAATGTACAAAACTAAAGTGTATGAACCAGGATCGAACCCGCGACCTTCACCATTGAAGGCGAACGCGTTAGTCACTAGACCACCAGCACTAGGTGCTAAATCTCTTCGCAAATTCATACCTTTAAAACACTATGAGTGCTGGCAGGCTTTACAGCAACGTATGTAAAATAGAGCCTTTTTTATTATTATAAACTTGTCGCTTCCGTACAAATGTGAAACAATATATCTGACGGAGATTTCTGCGGAGTTTCTGCACTTTCCTGTCAACAGAAACAGACATGCTGTCTGCCGCTGCCTTCCGCCTCCAGGCTTTTTCAGACTAATAACTGAAAACTAAAGACTGCACACGTTAACTGAACAAAGATTACAGCAATACACCACAACTTTCTCGCTACAAATATCGTCAAAACATATTTATGTGCTCAAACGATCTTAGTTTATCAAATTTTCTCTTAGAACAGCCTGAACAGAGTCCGCCATACTTTCTCTGTTTCTCAGTCCTAAATGGACCAATCACATTGCTGTTCTGCATTTCTTCATTTGCATGTAAAGGCCGGATTTGCTCACTAGCTAACTAGTGAGCAGTACAGCGGTCGAACTAGTTAACATGTTACACAGAATGCCAGCCAAGTGTGTATTTATTCAAATTCCACAAATTTACTAGTTTTAGGGGCATTTTTCTGCAGCTAGTTAACTAGTGACAGTGTTTTGTGTTCACTACTTAACATGTAAGGCTCAGTTTGCCCTCTATAAGCTAGTGAGAAAAAATTATAATGCAGATATGCTCACTAGTTAACTAGTGAGTGCTTCCTGTCCCATTACAAGTGAACTAGAAAGGCCAAATATGTCAACTAGTTAACTAGTGAAGGTAAATTTGTCACTAGTTAACTAGTAAGAACACATTTTTACATAACAAGTAAACTAGATTGCTCCAAAAACAGCAACTAGTGTGCGTCTTGTGCGCACTAGTTAACTAGTGAGCATATCTGCACCTCACTAGTTAACTAGTGAGCATATCTGCACCTCACTAGTTAACTAGTGAGCAAATCCGCACCTCACTAGTTAACTAGTGAGCAAATCCGCACCTCACTAGTTAACTAGTGAGCAAATTTGCACCTCACTAGTTAACTAGTGAGCAAATCCGCACTTCACTAGTTAACTAGTGAGCAAATCCGCGCCTCACTAGTTAGCTAGTAAGCAAATCCGCACTTCACTAGTTAACTAGTGAGCATATCTGTGCCTCACTAGTTAACTAGTGAGCAAATCCGCACCCTACTAGTTAACTAGTTGGCGTTTTGGGGCCCACTAGTTAACTAGTGAGCATATCTGCACTTTACAAGTTAACTAGTGATGCTTTTTTGCACCTTACTAGTTAACTAGTGGGCGCTTTAGGGCACACTAGTTAATTAGTGAGCAAATCTGCACCTCACTAGTTAACTAGTGAGCAAATCCGCACATCACTAGTTAACTAGTGAGCATATCTGTGCCTCACTAGTTAACTAGTGAGCAAATCCGCACCCTACTAGTTAACTTGTTGACATTTTGGGGCCCACTAGTTAACTAGTGAGCATATCTGCACTTTACAAGTTAACTAGTGATGCTTTTTTGCACCTTACTAGTTAACTAGTGGGCGCTTTAGGGCGCACTAGTTAACTAGTGAGCAAATCTGCACCTCACTAGTTAACTAGTGAGCATATCCGCACCTTACTAGTTAACTTGTGGGCGATTTGGGGCCCACTAGTGAACTAGTGACACTTATTTTGCACCTCACTAGTTAACTAGTGGACATTTGTACCCTCTCTAGTTAACTAGTGAGCAGTTCTGCCTTCACAAGTTTACATGTAAGTGTCACACTGAAGCCACTACTAGTTCACTAGCTGAGGTTCCTCTGGCCAGCATGTTAACTTGTGTGCCGCATGCAAATATTTGGGGTGGGATTTTACGAAATTCCGCACTGTGATTGGTTGTCATATTTTATTTTGACACAGGGAGCCAATAGAGAGTCTTAATTTGAGAAATTCTCCGCCTCCTAACTAGAATTCTGCGCAACTAGCTAGCTAGTGTGAATGTAGACTTGAACTAGTTTACTAGTATACATTTATGTCCTCACTAGTTAACTAGTTTGGACAATGGATGCATCAACTAGGTAACTAGTGAGCCTGCTGCCATCAACTAGCTAGCTAGTGAGCCATTAATGGTTCACTAGTTAACTAGTGGCACTGACCTACTCCAACTAGTTAACTAGTTAGGAGTTAAGCCTTCACTAGTTAACTAGTGTGCACATTTTGGCCATCAATAGTTAACTAGTGAGACACAAAAAACCTTCAACTAGCTGACTGGTATGCACTTTGGCCTTTACTAGTTAACTAGTGAGCCATTTATGTGACAACTAGTTAACTAGTGAAGCCAAAATGTGTTCACTAGTTAACTAGTGCACATTTATGTCTACCACAAGTTAACTAGTGTGCACATTTTGGCCATCACTAGTTAACTAGTGAGACACAAAAACCTTCAACTAGCTGACTGGTATGCATTTTGGTCTTTACTAGTTAACTAGTGAGCCATTTATGTGTCAACTAGTTAACTAGTGAAGCCAAAATATGTTCACTAGTTAACTAGTGCGCATTTATGTCTACCACAAGTTAACTAGTGTGCACATTTTGACCCTCACTAGTTAACTAGTGAGACAAATACCTTCAAGTAGCTGACTGCTATGCATTTCTGCTTTTACTAGTTAACTAGTGAGCAGTTTTTGTGTCAACTAGTTAACTACTGAAGCCTAAATGTGTTCACTAGTTAACTAGTGCGCATTTCTGCTGTCACTAGTTAACTAGTGGGCACATTTTCACCCTCGATATTTAACTAGTTGACACAAACATGTCTAACTAGTTAACTAGTGGACAGAAATGGCTTACATGTTCATGACAATTCTGGCTGATATCCTGATATCAGAATAAATGCTCATTTGGCTTGCCATATACAGGTGGCTTTGAACTCTCCACACTGAGATTCTCACAGCCCTAGCTAAACTCCACGTCACTGCACAAACAGGAGCATGTAGGGAGATCCTGCAGACAGATTGAATGACTATTCAGACGTTGCTAACAGGTGGCATGCTGCTTTATTAGTCAGCTAATTACTAACCAGTCATATTAGTGAGTCGGACTTTGTTCTTTCCTTCTCTGGTTCTTCTTGTAATGCGTTGTGGGAAACCTGTTACAGTCTATCTGGGCTCATTGTAACATTTGGCAAATTTTTATTCCTGACTACCACATTTGAAGTCATTCAGGGGAAATGTGATTAATGATTTTGGCATTTCAAACTGCCTCTGATAATTACCTCTGCTGATTGATGACTGTTTGTAAGAGCACATGCTGTTCACTGTGATTTTCTGCTTTAGCTCTTGTCCTAAATGTATTATTGAATATTAGACCCGGGAGGATGAATGACAGACGGGTCAAAGAGATGTTTCTTCATCCCACAGATGACAGGACACAGCTGTTATCTGGTGCTTTAGTGTCAGGGGAAAGATAGTGTGAAAAAAAGCAGATGGAACAGCACTCTGTCCATCGGGATGTTGTGTTTTTTATCTTTCCAGCCATTGACTCCTTTATTTTTCTCTCTCCGTGTATTCTTGCTTCATTTCTTGACTTAAAAATACCCTGTCAGCTTTTATTTGACTTATTTTTCAGTCCAGTGGCGTTTCAAAGACAGACTACAACTTATTGGCTGTAGGGATCTTTTCATGGAAGAGAAAAGCAAAGCCTTTACTTCACCATTAATATCGAATAATATTATTTCATTATTACCTCAAACATGTTGACAGGTGTGTGCATAAAGCCATTTTATGCCTTAAACATATTTGAGCTTATCCTGATAATTATTACAGATTCATTTGACAGCAGGGTTGAAAGTAATATCAGGCATATTATCTAATTTAAAAGCACCGATCATATTATGGCACAATTATTTTAAAGGTGTGGAACTCTAAAAAAAATCATTTTTTATGATTATTTCTGGTTATAATCAGCCTTTCTGAGTTTTAAATGCAGGCTGAACATGAAAATAGTCTCCTACACCTATGTCCTGCATTAGCTTCTGATAGAAAATAAACGGTGCGACTCGAGGATTTAAAAAGTCTGACAGATCTACGTCACAGAACCAAATGTTTCTATATGTGATTGCTGCTCTCAGCATCAACATTAATATATGGACAATGGGTTTCCATAGGCTCCAATATCACTTTTTCGAGGCCAAATGGGAGGTGGCCACCACCGCCATTTTGACCATGTCACAGGTTCCGTCAAGCCCAGACAATTCCATAAAGGGGAAGAGAGGAGGAGCTGAGGGTGGGGCTGTAAGGCTGGGATCAACTGACGACACCCGGTCGAACTAGCTACAAGCTAACCTGAAGCTAACCCTGGCTACCCCAAAGCTAACGCGGAGGTGGGAGCTAAGCTAATGGAGGTAGCAACCTAGCTACAGCCGGAGTTAACTGTGCACAACACCAGAGCTTCTGAGTCAGAGATACGCCGGGCTGACCGCTGGGTAAAACCGGGTGGAACACAGAGGTCTCCGAGAGCTCCACAAGCCGGCAGCCGCACAGCAGACAAGCGCTGCTGCGATCTGAGATGCACAGATCTGCCGCTGGGGAGAACCGGGTAGACAGGTTTCCATCCCAGAGCTCCACAAGCCGACAGCCCACGCAGCAGTCAGGAGCCGCGATCAGACAGAGATGCGCCGAACTGCAGGGAGAAACAACCAGCATTCCGCACAGCAAACAGAAGCTGCGAAGCCAGGGGAGAAACGGGTGGAAAACATCGGTCTCCCGAGCTCCACAAGCCGATAGTCGGAACCCAGCTCCACCAACATGTTATATTTCAACCCATTTTCTAAAGTCTAGCATTATGTTAAATGCACTGGGTTTTACCCTATTACATTTAAATTTCATGGTTAAACAGTACATGTTAAAATCTAAGCTAAGCTCGGCAGTGACCTAAAATACATAAATATAATTTTACTTACCAAAATAAAAATGAAGTGGAGACTCCTTGGAGGCTCTGTTGGTGCAATTAATGCCACAGCAAGTCATTTTGTCCAACAATTGCACTAAAAATATCCAAAAAAGAATACACAAACACGGAGACTCAAAATCCCGGAACAGTTTCCAAGCCAGACTGAGGCTCTACTGAGGCCTTTCCCCGGTGCTAGCTCTATGGTCACGTGGGTCTGATGCTCATTAATTATACAGAATTTTAGGCTTTTAATACACTTAAACAGAAGAGTGAGAAAAAAATTCACCCCCCTCAGAGTTGTCATGAGTGTAAACTAGATAATTTAAACCAAAAACATGTTTTGATACCAGGCCGTAAACATGTTTATTTCTGCTGTGAAATTGGTATTTTTAACATGGGAGTCAATGAGGATTTGCTCGCTTCTGACACCAGCCCCCAGCGGATGAGGGTGGAACTGCAATGTTTGGTACTTCCATGGTTGACTCAATTTTAGAGCTCCATTGTGGGGGCTTGGCTCTCAGAAGTGTTCTGATGATGTCCTTTTGATGTGATTGCAGCAACAGCAATCACATGTTGTAGCTGCCCCAGTTAGTCAGAGAATCAGTCTGTCAAACAGAGGTTTTGACTGAATTAATAAAAGATGTTTTAGATTTTCTTTTTCCTAATGGGAACAGAGACCTGTCACTCCAAGCTCCCACAACCTCAATGTGTCTTTGTTATCATCGGTGCTCCCACCAGAACCTGGAGGCTAAGGCTCAGCCATTGTTTACTGCTATGTTTTCAAAATTTTGGTTTAAAGCGTCACAGATTCCAGCTTGTGAAAATTAGGCTTTGATGAGATGGGGATCTCATTTATCTGGGAAAGAGTAAGATCAAAGACATGCTTCAGTAAGATACAAGATTACAATGTTTTGCATTTCTAAAAATAACCAATTGGCAGGAAAAGTTCTTTCCTTATTGATGAAGCAAATTTCTGCATCAACCTACACATTTCTTCTACACTCTAAATGAAATGTTGAGTTTATTTAAAGCTGCAATGGCAAAATAAAAATGTTTGCTTAAAACATTTTTTCCATGACTCTTAACACCATTCTATCATAGTATACCTATAAATATATTGTGGAGATTAAAAATAAGCTAAATTATGAAACCATTAATAAAGTTGTTCTCTTACATTAATCCAAAAACCTCCGTCACTGAATGCCTCATCGCTGGAGCTGGTGCTAGCTGCACAGCTTTTTTCTGTCTGTTCCTACTTTTCAATCTGCTAAAATATGACAGTGACCTTCATTATTATCCTGTGGAAGTTATAAAATCTGTCTATTAGTTTAAGACGTTTCACATATACTGACACATTGCTTCTTCAGACCACACACACACACACACACACACACACACACACACACACACACACACACACACACACACACACACACACACACACACACACACACACACACACACATTCTAGTCTACACTCAAGTTGACACTTTGTTACTAAGAGAATCGATTCTGAATCGAATCGGAATCTAATTGAATCGTGAGTTACGGTAAGATTCACATTCTTACTTCATGCACCTTTAAACATCTATTAAAACCTTTAAACCTGATTAGGTAAGAGTTGCTACTCTTGCTGACCACATAGATAACTCTTGTTTACACACTTTCATAGATATAGTCATTTCTTCTTACATAGATGTGTCTATATTCCTGTATGCATGTATCATTCCAAATATCCTCCATTTACTGATTCAGAATGTTCTAATATCTGCATTTTATCCTATTTATTGGGTTTTTATTTGTTCTTACATGCTCTGTGATCACTTTTTTTATTATGCTCAGATGTAATTGTGTTTTTTGGGGGTTGTTTTATTTATTTATGGCAGTATCTCTGAGTCATCCCATCCAGGTCATGTTTGTAAATGAGAACAAGTCCTCAGACATTTTAAAACAAAGTTTGTAAAATAAACAAATGCATGCAAAAGTGTTCTATACGTTTCAGTTTCAGGTAGAGTCCTAAGTATGTGATGCTCCACCACCAAACACGTCCGTGTGGAAAAATAAAACACATTTCTACAATCAGTTTAGTGTTTTTGCTGTTACTTAAAAACTGAGCTTTTTCAGGGAAATGAGAAAACCTATTATTTGTGCATTGGACTGTACGAGTTTAGAGCCACTGCTCATGATGAACGAGTAGTTGCAGGGTAGAGATGGAAAAATGTTTCCATGATGTGGGACACTTTTGAAGTCAAGTGTGTCCTCAGTGAAGACACGCTTCAGTCTCTAACCGGTTGAGGAGGCGGGACGCGGGCTGAAGGAGTGATACACAAACAAACCCTGATGCTTTCCAGGAGATTTCAGTTGTTCGGCCTCTGCACACAGAATTCCAATCACTCATCCTCAATGCTGTATGCTGCTTGGATGTGACTTTTGAATTTTTTCTGATGCACCATATCATGTTCCTGATCCAAATCTATAAGTCATTTTAACCTTCTGCAGCTCCAGCACTTCACCCTGCCTTTTAATTTTCTTATGTTCTTTGCTGAAAACAATTGTCAGTCATTATCTTTTCAAGTCAGTTTTCCCCAGCTTATACTCTTTATCCCTCTGCTCTCTTGTGATTGATTTTTTTTAACCAACGGTGGAAGTTGGTGAGAAAATTTGAAAGCACCAGAAATCACTTTAAGGATTGCTGAGTTCACATTTTACATCAGCCTAGTTGACTGTGTGCAGACCGCAGAAAGGTGCCGCCAGCATATTCATGCAGTCCATCTAATTTATATAACTTTTCAGTATTAAAAACCGTGTGTGGGTGGTTATCTGTGCCTGTGTGCATACAAACAGGTCATGCAGTCATCAGGCCATTTCCAGATTTAATATCCAACTTTAAGAGATTCTGCTTCTGCTGACAAGCAACTTGGTTAAATCTCCCCAAAAGCAAAGTTCTTGCTCTTTTTTTAATCTCTTTTGAGGCTAAACAGGAGTCAAGGAAAAAGTTGCCAGTTTGTAATTTACTAATCTGATACAGCTGCTGCCTTTTACTTTTGATTGTGTGTGTATTAGTGAGCTGCACATGCATACATATATGTAAGTAAATAAATGTGGCATTTACAGAAAGATGTGTTTATGTAGTGCTGTTACTGGAGCTACTGCAGCAGTTATTTCAATATGAGAAAATATATTTGTCCTAAACGCAGACTGACAGCTACATTGATACCCCCACCCCCCACCCCCTTTTTATTATTATTTTTTTACTGGGGCTGGGTTACAAATCAGTAGCTGGGAGTTGACAGCTGAAATAAACTGAGATAACATACTGCCACCGTTAAATTACTCTGTCACTAAGTTTATGCTTCTACTTACTCAAAGAGCAAACAGCTGGATATAATAACTACTGAGATTATTGTTTATGGAAGGAGAAAGTAGAGCTGTACGGTTTTAAGTGTAACCAGATTCATTTTTTATACAAAAAGGGCAAAAATCTTCATTTGCTGAACTTTTACATTTCTCTGATCACTGAAGCTGTTAACTGTAGGTTTGTATTATGAAGTGATATTTCTTGCAGGTGGTTGGTTTTGACTTTAGATTTGAACTTGTTCACCTACACGTTAATGAATGAAACTGCAAAGTATTCATTTGTCATCAGAAGTCCATTACATCTAATAACATTTGAAAGTCAACAATACCTCACTCTTGAATGAGACATGAAAGAACTAAATAGTGTACTTCATGTCAAAGTGTGAAAAAGGGAATAGAGATGGGAAAAAAAGGACAAAAGTAGATTAAAACTGAATCAGTAAAAAAATTGTTAAAATACTTAAAGATTGAAACAGCAAATTACAAGGTATTAAAGTACACTGAACAGTTTCCTGGTCCTCCACCCTAATGGTTGTAAGTGGAGTTACAACTGTCGTAAACAACCCTACTGCAGCCCGCTTTAGCTAGCTCTAATGACCGGCTAACACCAACATGAGCCAACTAATACTAAAATGAACCACAAAGTTAAAAAAAATCCACAATGTTGGACAAAAATGTTATTACTCCCAAGTACCGTAACAACAAAGCCAGGTCACCATCAATCCGTGATTTTGTAGAGTTCCATAGCACCCTCAGACTAAGGTAGGCCGTGCCAATGTCCACTCTTGTTTTAGCTCTTTACTTTGCCTCCAAAGACATTACTCTCTTACTTCCAGGCTCTGTCATGACACAAATAGAAAAGCAAACTTATTTTTCTTCTTGTTGTTTTGTGGACGATCGGCAAACTGAAAAAGCTAACTGCTAACATAACAGCTAACAGCCGTAAAGCAGGTAAATAACTCCTCTAGAGCACCTACCCGTTCCACAAAACTGTTAAGTTTGGTTTCTGGTCAACAGAGGATTGCAGAGTGCTTTTCTGGGTGAAGATGGTAAAGTTTATACTCCCACAGTCACTCAAATCGACTTTTGAAGAAATAGCCTAAAGTGTTAAAAATTGTTTAGTGTTACTTTAAAGCTGCTATCCAGAGTTTTCCCCTTTCAGGACTTATTTATGATTTTTTTCAGAATTCCATGAAAGAGATTGTCTGATCATGGACTGTGGGCAATATGTATTACTATTATTTATTTATTTTCTAACCCTGTTCTGTAGATCGAAGTTGATTACATGTTTAAGAAATAAAAAAATAAAAATAAAAAAGGAGTGGATAGTGAGATGATCTGTTTTATTCTATTTGATGTGTGATTTTATTATTTATTTGGGGGGGGGGGGCTGAGATTGTTTATCTCCTTCATCAACTGATTAAAGTGCTAAAGATGTATTGGTTGCTCTTCAAGTTCTGAAAGAAGTCTAATTTGTTTTGTATTTTGTGATTATCAGTGATGATTCATTTTCTTGCTGATTCCCAATACATTCTATCACCATTTAATGTTTGTGTCAAATGTCTGAAAACTATTGTGATTTGTAAAAACATCCAGATATTATATTTGAAGAACAACATTTTTGTACAATGTTCTTGTTCTCCATCTTTTTCCAATTGTTCTGCTCTTGAGCACAAAATATTTAATTTAAAGACATTCCCATCTATCTATCTATCTATCTATCTATCTATCTATCTATCTATCTATCTATCTATCTATCTATCTATCTATCTATCTATCTATCTATCTATCTATCTATCTATCTATCTATCTATCTATCTATCTATCTATCCGTCCGTCCGTCCGTCCGTCCGTCCGTCCGTCCGTCCGTCCGTCCGTCCGTCCGTCCGTCCGTCCGTCCGTCCGTCCGTCCATTCTCTTCCGCTTTTTCAGAGTTGGGTCACAGAGGCAACAACCTAAGTCGAGAAGCCCAGACTTCCCTGTCCCCAGCCACTTGGGCCACCTCTTCCGGGGGAACCCCAAGGCGTTCCCTGGCCAGGTGAGAGACATAGTCACTCCAGCGCATCCTGGGTCTTCCTTTAAGTTTCCTCCAGATTGGACGTGCTTGGAAAACCTCACCAGGGAGGCATCCAGGAAGCATCCTAATCAGATACCCGAGCCTTCTCAACTGGATCCTCTCAATGTGGAGGCGCAGCAGGTCTACTCCGAGCCCCTCCAGGATGACCGAGCTTATCACCCTATCTCTAAGTGAGAGCCCAGACACCCTGCGGAGAAAACTCATTTCGGCCGCTTGTAAACTACAATCTCATTCTTGAGGTCACTAACCAAAGCTAGTGACCATAGCAGGGTGTCCGCGGGGTTTTAAAAAGTATTAAAAAGTGATAAATAAAAATAGTCAAATTTAAGGCCATTAAAAGCGTTAAATTTGATCTCAGAGGTATTATTTTTTCCAAATTAGGTATTATTTTTTTCAGACTATCAGGTGTCGTATTATGAACATCAACATAGAAATATATTCCGAATGAAATGTTTTGAACGATTATAAAAACAAAACAAGCCGATTATTTGCTCCTCTCGCTTGCGCTGCCCTGAGTTGCAAATGAAGCGCTCCTCCCACAGTGTTGCCAACTTAGCGACTTTGACGCTATTTCCAACAGCTTTTCAGACCCCCTTCTTGACTTTTTAAATCTTAAAAGTACCTAGCGAACACCTCAGAAATATCTCTGGTAACCCTTAGCTACTTTCTGGATAACTGTCGTCGACATTTCCTGCAGGTTAGCTAAACACTCCATCTGCGCTCCCAACCGTTCTTCAGGACATTAGGAAAGGGAATGATGTAGTGATGTGTCGGTCGCTACAGAAACAGCTCTCAGAGCCGGCTCTCTGTTGGATTAACCAGAGTGAGTGACACACACACCGTACCTGCGGGCTCCTGAGCCGCTAAAAACGGCTAAATGTGCGCGTGCTGCGTGCTAAACACACGTGCAGCTTGCCCCTGATTGCTGTGAGACCGGGTTGGGGGGTGGGGGGTGCAGCTGTGGTTGAGACAATTATTACATTAACTGATGGACCTGTGAATAAATAGTTTATAAATAAGGTA